AAGCCTACCTTCCACCCTGCCGTCTATGTGAGGTGAGCACAACTATTAAGTTCTTGGTACAATAACGATGAATGGGTTATGCTGAGGCTGTATTAGTGTCTGGATTGCTCTGAGTTCCAGCGTCATCCTGTTCAACAAGCACATCCTGGATTATGCCCAATTCCGTAAGTGAAATCTGGCCGATTTGCTTAGCTGGTCAAGTTTCCTCATTCATCCTACTAACGATTTATTTGTTCAGGCTTCCGTAGGTCTTTCTCTGTCGTTACATCTCGTCAAGCGAAATCTAATTGTTCCCAGCTATCATCCTGACAACATGGCACTTGGCATTCGCGACTTTCATGACTCAAGTTCTCGCCCGCACAACAACTCTGCTGGATGGCCGCAAGACTGTGAAGATGACCGGACGGGTCTACCTGCGCGCTATTGTACCTATTGGTCTTTTCTTCTCCCTGAGTTTGATCTGCGGTAACGTGACATACCTGTACCTGAGTGTTGCCTTTATCCAGATGCTGAAGGTGTGTTTCTGCTCCGATCAACTTACCATATCGCTGGGCGATAATTGCTGATCACCGTACATAGGCAACGACTCCGGTCGCTGTTTTGATCGCTACCTGGGCTATGGGAATGGCCCCTGTCAACCTGAAAGTCCTCTTCAACGTTGCTATTATTGTCGTCGGTGTCGTCATTGCCTCGTTTGGCGAGATCAAGTTCGTCTTCATCGGTTTCCTGTTCCAGATCGGTGGTATTGTCTTCGAAGCCACCCGTTTGGTCATGGTTCAGCGCCTTCTCAGCTCTGCCGAATTCAAGATGGACCCTCTGGTTTCTCTGTACTACTTCGCTCCTGTGTGCGCTGTGATGAACGGTGTCACTGCCTTGTTCGTTGAAGTACCTAACCTGACTATGGGCCACATCTACAACGTTGGTGTCTGGACTTTGCTGGCCAACGCCGTTGTTGCCTTCCTGCTCAACGTTTCTGTCGTCTTCCTGGTAAGTAGTGTCCGCCAACCTCGCATTCCCCATTTTGGTCGTTAACCCTTGAACGCAGATCGGAAAGACATCCTCCCTTGTCATGACCCTCTGTGGTGTACTGAAAGATATCCTTCTTGTCGCTGCATCCATGATGATTTGGCAGACTCCTGTTACCGGTCTCCAGTTCTTCGGTTACTCGATTGCTCTGATCGGCCTGGTCTACTACAAGCTTGGTGGCGACAAGCTTAAGGAGTATGCTGGTCAGGCCAACCGGTCCTGGGCCGAGTACGGTGCCAACCACCCCGCTCAGCGCAAATCCATCATCATCGGTGCCGTCGTTCTCATCTTCTTCCTGCTGATCGGCTCCATGGCGCCCAGCTACGCCCCCGAGTCTGTGGGTAAAGTCAAGGGCATGCTTGGCGGTGCAACTGTTGGAAATGCCTAAAGGAGCGGATGAATGTGCATACATGAAGAGCATGCGAGAATGCTCCTTGAGATGCGGCAACGCAGATACTGCGGGGTGCGTGCTACCCGTCACCTTGCTGGCGGTAGCAAAATAGAATGCAAGATTCCATACGGCAGGAGTCTGGCTTAATACTTTTCATTCACTTTCCATATTAAGGCCGTTTGAAGACATTTCAATGGCCATATATTTTCTTTACCTCACCCTCTCCTGAATTAATGCGCCTCCGTTGAGATCGTCCACATGCTTGACCACTGGCGGCCTGACTTGGCGACATGCAGGGAATGCAGCCGGTCTCGCCTTCCTAAATGCGTTGACATCCAGATGATATGTTTTGACCTTCGGAGGTGTTCCCTTCTTTTCCGCATTTTGCATCACGGATATCATCCGTACGGGGACTGCAGAGGTTTATTGTTTTTCATCTTTTTCTATGAACATTGACTGTCATGTTAGATTAGCACGAGGTTCCGGTGTCGGATGTGTGTTGTCTTCTGTTTCTTCATCTTCCTTCTCGCCGACGTTTTCTTTCTCCCTTTTTACTTTCCCCCTGTGAATATAGGATACTTCTCATCTGCTACCAAAATAGAGTTTGCTTTTTTCTTGGATTGACGAGAAATGCAATAGATTACATTGTGTTCATCATGACGGTCGAGGTCCTTGGTTGTCTTGCTCTCTCCCCGAGAAAACCCCCAGCCACGCCAATGTTATCCTGAGGCATTTGGCCATTTGCAAGGCTCCCAATCACATTTCGTTGCGCGAGCTGCCAAAGCGGGCCACAGTTACGAACCAATCATGACCCAGCTGAAACCTCAGGCCAGCAACAGGCGGATTGGCCAATAATTGTGCGGAGTGGCGCACAGAAGGGGCCGAGGCGCGGACAGGGCATGCCTATTCTGTCCAGTCAAATTGGCTCTACGAAGACACTGACCCACATTGCACTGGCCAGCGTTGTTATCCATCAACCAATAATGCGGCAATCCTTACAGGCCGATCTGGATCTTGTGGGGTTTGCAAATCATTACGGTATTGTATGGTATGCGGCTGCCGGGCACCGCCCTGCTTGCATAGCAACGCTGCAAGTGCTGCATGGCTTGGCACTGTACCATACAGTATCAAGGCAGATTCTCTCCGCATCCTCCAAAGAAGCTCTAAGCGACGCAAAAAAGATCCGCATCCGTCAGCGCCTTTTCACGCGTTCTTCCAAATCTCTCTCTCTCTCTCTCCGCTGATCCCGTGGATCTAAGTTCTCACACTTCTTGTCATCACGTCTTCTCCCATCACCTTTCTTGTGCTGCTTTTCCTTCCTCTTCTTCGTCCCAATTCCTCTCCTTCTCCTCGCCTTCCATTACTCACTCATCTCTCAAAGTCTGTCCAACAACATTCGACAGTCGTCTGATATACCTCATTACTTCTCTTCTCCGGGCTTTTTGACAGCCATCGCCTTCTCCGCATCTCACTTCTTCTCATCGGCGTCATTCAATCATCTTGCTTTCCTCTGCAGGTTACTCTAGCTCGTTTTTTTTTAATTAGCTCACTTAACAGGACAGAACGCAACAGTTCGGATTCTCCATTGTAACCACCTTCCCAAGTCTTTCGCCATGTGCCCAATGCTCCTCAGCGGTCTTGCGGATGGACCCGCCATGGTCCTATCCCCTCGCCAGGAACACGCTTTTGTTCAGTTCCCTCGCCAGTCGCAGCCCGACTCGGCCTCTGCCGCCTCTCATAATTCATTCTTCAAGACCTCGTCGTTCTCCAACAATATCTTCGGTGCGCAGAAGCTGGCCAACAACGCAGCCAGTTCTTCCAGAATTTCGCGCAAGAGATCGCGAGATGAAGCCGAGTTTGAAGAAGCCCTCAATCCTTCGAGCGCGCCTGCAGTGGCTGCGCCAGCGCCAGCACCAAAGGAGGAGCCTATCTACGGGGAGGGTATGACACTTATCAATCCTCGCACCGGCATGTCGCTTTCTGCAGAGAGCCAGACAGGTACCTGGTACGAAGAACATCTCGAAACCGCCGCTGCCACGGCGGCTCCTCTCTCGTTGCGGTCCCAAGCCAGCTCGTCCGAACTCCACAGCCGCAAGTCGCAGCGTCTCGACCCATCCGCCTCCCGTGTCGACGATATCACTCTCGCCCACATTCAACGAAGACTTCACGAGACAACCGACGATGACAACCGCCGCCTCCTCAACGCCGGAGCCCTCACCAGCTCCTTAACCCCGAACGAACCCCAGGTTGACGACGCAACCCATCTCCTCGGAATCAGCTGGCAACGAATCACTACCGACGACGTCGACATGGCGGCCGCCGTGCGTGGCTGGAAAAAGTACATCGACAAGCAATTCGCACCGTACCTCCTGGACTCGCAGATCCTCATGAAGAACCGCGCGCTCAACGCGTACCTGGTCACAGCGCGACCAATTACTCCTGCCGGACCTGCTATCGCCCCGGCCTTCTATCTCTTCAGCGAAGACCTCACCCAGGCTCAGCTTGTGGCCTCCTCCTGGGAACAATGCGTGCACAATCTTCGCTCGGCTCCCGTAATCTTTGAGCAAAATCAAGTTCTCAATGCTGCAGACAGACCATTCAATAACAACAGCAGCGGCTCAAGTGTTCTAGGCCTCCACACCACCGAGCCGGGCCTCCCGCTCCTGCAAACGATGTGTGCCCAACCAGTCAGCAGCGACATGTGTGCGGGATTGAACAATAGCGTAGGAATGGCGATGGGGATGGAAATTGATACTTAAAAGCAAGCAGTTCATCAACGACACAACCGTTAACGACATCTCGACGACGACGACCCAGAGCCGCTTTCCTTCTCGCTTGCGCGTTCGCATTTTGCACCGCGAATTTCGACAGAACGCCTAACCTTTTCTGGTAGTTTAACATCTTCGGCCCGTTGTCGTGGTTATTTATCGTAATTTTTCGTCTCATTTTCTCGGAGTTGCATTTGTGGGTTCTTTTCTTTCTTCTTTTTTATGTGTTATTTCTTTTATTTTTCTATCTCTTCCAACATCGAATATGAATTGTTGCAAATCTGAAACGAAGTGAGAGAAGAAACAGAAGGGGTTGTAGTGGACGGACGTCATGCTTTCGTATCTTACCATTCCACCTGTTTGTGCTTTTATTATTGTGCTTATGCCAATCAGTGAGGCCTGTCTAGCAAAGAATAATAGGAAAACAAACCAATGAAAGAAAAAACAATTCTTCACGAGCATCGAATGCTATTTGAACGCGAAAATTCTCATTAACTACGTATATCGTATTGTAATTAGACTCACATGATCACTAGCTAAGTATATATCGCAGAGGCAGGTTGGACTACCGGCTACCAGAACTGATCTGGCATCGCTTGATAGCTGTACAGGGTATGTAGACAATCTATTTTCCATCCTTCCGTCGGTAAACGTAACCGTCATCTCGTCTCGAATTGAATCGTAACAATTTTCATTGCGTCGATCTGATTCCCTTCCCTGTCTTGCGGCTCCTCAGCTCCGAGGCCAGGGCCGCGACGCATGTGCTGACCACTGCACTGGCCTTGCGCTGAAGCCGCAAGTTTATTGCTAATGGTCTAGCCGATCTTCTCGACGATAACCTCGGAATGGCCCTTGGTCTGGCTTTCCTCGTCGGTGTGGTGGACCTTGAGCGAATCCCTGAGGAACAGGCCGTCGATCTCTTCAAGGGTTAGATTGGCGGTCTMAGGGTAGAAGAAGTAGATGAGCTAGGGGCCCGGGATTAGTAAATGATGGCAGTTGATGGTGACAGTGGTTTTCACTCACGGGTATGAAGGAGAAATTAAGGCACATGAAGATGAGATAGGTCTTCCAGCGCAGCTTTTCAAGCAGGATGGGAGTGATCATGGCCACGAAGAAGTTCCATAGCCAGTTCGCGGAGACCCCGATGGATTGTCTATTTATTTGAGGTTAGAAGATCATACAGCACTCCAAGGGTCACTTGGCATATGGACTTACCCTTTGGTCCGCGCATGCAGAGGGAGGAGTTCAGGTCCGTATGGCCATGGGATGCAATTGGTGGATGCTCCGAAGATGAGCATGAACAGGAAGAAGAACGCAACGGCCGCTGTCGCCGTGGGCTTTGCCTGGGATGTTCCTGATCAAATGTTAAGGCGCTGAAGTGCTGTAAAGGAGAGACTTAGAGATACCTTCAAACGAAAACAGGATGGCAAGCATCAACATGCAGAAGCCTAGGCCGAATGATCCCCACATCATGGGGTTTCGACGTCCAAGGCGATCTGCATACAGAGTAGGGTACAAAGAACCTAGAGCAATATGATTAGTGTGTTGCGTCCTGTGCGTGAATATGTCAAATGAATCCTACCGATGACAAACATAATCTGAATCACGCCACCAACGAGCGAGCTCATCTTTGCTGTGAGGCCAACGTTGTCCTGCAAGACTAAATAATGGGTCAGAAAAACTCTAGCCCTTATTTGGAGACAGCAGTCTGATTCTCACCCGTTGTAACGTAGAACTGGCTTCTTGTCAGCTTGCACAGTCTGCAAACATGTATCTGTGGTCACTTACAACTATGATATTGGTACCGCCCATTTGGTTTATGAACTGGAGCCCATAAGCCATAAGAACCCGTCGACCAGTCTGCAAGTCATCTCTCTTGAGAAATATTTGGGACCATCTGTATTCTCCACGCGCGCTTTCCAACTCGAGTGCTTGTAGAATTCCTTCGGACTCAGCAAGCACCTTCGGGTGATCAGGTGTCCGGTCATACACCTCACACAGAACCTGCAGTGCTTCTTCGTTACGACCTTTCCTGTATAGCCACCGAGGACTTTCTGGGAGCCTATTCCACCCGTTAGACCTGACTGACATTCTTTGTTCAAGTGCAGTTGTACGAGGAAACGGCCGACTTACCCAGCAACCAGAATAACTACAAGGACGGCGAATATCTCCTGACAAGCGATAGGCAATCGCCAACTGATTGACCCTGTAACAAAGGTCATACCATAGTCAAACCAATAGGCAAGGACAATCCCAAATCCGACGGCAAGCGGGAGGCTGCACACAAATTTTCCCCGTTTCCGTGCCTCACATAGCTCCGCTTGGTAGACAGGCACTAATGTCGACATAATACCAGTGCCGATGCCGTTGACGAAGCGGGATATGAGTAACTGTGTTAGGGAGTAAGAGCATGTTTGGACCGTACCACCGACCTATAGAGCCAGGCAGGTTAGTTGCTGTCCATCTCATTCATGCACGGGCGGCACTCACCACTACATAGACCATCGAAAACCACATAGACTTTTGAAACCCAAGCCTGTCTGTAGTCATAAACGCAATGAAGGTACCGAAGAAGCAGCCAAGGTTGTAGATAGACACTAGGAATCCGAGCATGCCCGCGCGGGGGTGGTTGACGATGCTCAGAAAGTCTTCATTGTTGATGATTCCAGAGAAAACACCCTGATTGTAACCTGGATAAAGAATACAGAGTTAGTTACCAACCGTCAATCTGTAACGCTTCATGGTATCCCACCGAATAGGACAAATGCAATCTGGCAGGTGATCAGAATCGCCATCCGAAGGCCTAGCCCTCGGCTATACATCTTGATCTTAGCCATGCTACAAGTGGAAAGACGATGAGACGTCAGGAAGGAGAATCGATTCAGAAGATGCTTCAATGGATAGTCAATTAAGAAGTATTTATGTACGCCACACGATGCAATATAGGGGGGCGCACGAGTGGATGATGCAAGCCATGCAGATCTACGACATACCTGCTACAACTCGGGAGCTCTGGCGCGCACAGCGCGGAGCTTCATTGCCCTCCTAACAGGTTTACTCATCCCAAGAGTTCATTGAGCCATTCGAGACGGTCACAGGCGCAATGCTCCATACCAGATTCCGCGGAAATCGGGGAAACTCTCACGGCTATGCTAAAGATGGAATCAAGGAGGAACTGGTGATCGAGAACTCCAAGGAAAAGGTCGCATCAGGCGGGCCCGGAGATTTTGTCCTATCATTATAGTCCGTGAGAGGCTTTTTCCTTACGCATTCCTGAAGTTCAACGGGGACTCGGAGCAGAGTCCGAGCTTTGAGGAGGAAAAATCTTCCCAGCAAGTCTCGAGCAGTCCAAGAATAAGACGTGCATCATGCTGAATCTTATTTGCATACTTCAAGCTTCAGTTTGACATCACCCTGTGTCATGATCACTGATGAAAAGCAGGTTGTGGACTGAACAGAAAATGGTTGCCTTTGAGCTTGGACACGGTACCATCACTCGACGCACTTTAGGATATCATACGACTCCTCATCTCTGTTATCTTTCTTTCCCAAACTTCCGGCAGGGGTGACCCCTTGTTCTGATGAGAGTTCCGCATCAGCTAGGTCTGTCCTAGCCGTTAGACAAAGTCCCGTTATAGAAGCTCGAGCCAGAAGGCGATGATCACAAGCATATAGTTCAGTCCTTTTTGCTGCGGAATGGCAAAGAAAGCTTGTGTGGGGCAGTCGAACTTGAATGCATGATGACGCCGAGTCAAATGAGCGAGCTTCTGATGACAGTACTTTCGTGACGGTGCTGGATGATGGGAGAGGAAGCCGGTGGAGAGTGGTTGTTGACAAGAGGAATCTCACCATGTACTCTTTGCACATCCATACAACCACGTGACGAAGGCAGCACAATCGCGGTTCCCACAAAACTACAAAAAAGTACATCAGATGAAGCGGAAGTGTCTATGAATTCAGTAAACTGTACACGTACAAAGTGCGGCGGACTTTTGCCTGCCTATCGTGGAATTGGGATAGAAGGGCAGCCTTTTGGAGTAGCGACAATTCCCCATTGGGTAGTAGCCTTATTGCGCATGGAATGTCGACGACCAAAAATAGCTAGACTCCATATTTCATGGTGAGCTGTTCATGGTAGACGATCTTCTGCCACTCTAAATAATGACTGAAACTGAAAACTGACTGATGGCTGGTTAGCTACAGGGAGGCGCTCATTCCTACTGACGATCGATTTCCTGGTCAAGTAACTCGATACTCCGAACGGGGCAAAAGGTGATCGCTGATCAAGAGACTCAAGGAAAAACCTCCGCCACTCAAGCAGCAAGTCTATTCGAGAGGCTTTTTATTTTAATCTCAATGGACCATCAACGGTTCTGCATCTCATCATCTAGCTCTAGACTTTGTGTTGAGAGGAGGGGTGCATAAGATGAGATAGATGCTTTCAAAGCTTGAGCGCTTATCTCGGTTCAGTCTAATCGCTACCGTAATCACTTTCATCGTCGTAGTAGTCGCCGTACTGCCCTGCAAACGCAGCATCCACCCCATCGGGATCCTCCTCATAATCATCCTCTTCGTCCTCATAGTCGTCCGCTTCTTCGTCTGGAATCTTGCTTTCTGACTCAGGCGCTGGTCCGTGCACCTCCTCGTTGGTATGTGCGCGGTCAATTTTGCCAACTTGCACTCCCGGCTGAAGGGGTTTCTCGCCCGGAAGTTGCGCGGGCCTCGTAGGGGGAGCGGGAGAGGCGACAGGCTTGGCAGTTGCCAGAGAAATCGCCCGCGGTTCCACACTGGCGCTGCGTCGTGAAGCCACACTCTGGCTTCGACTCCGGCTCCTGCTCATACTCTCCGCCTTGGCCTTGGCAGCCTCGTCGGCTCCTTCATCGCCGAACAATGACTCCAGAAGGCGATAGTTGATCTTCTTACTAAACCCTCTGCGTTCGAGCATGCGACGAGTTGCTTCGGCGGGGGTAGATGCCCGGGTGCTTCTGCCATCCGCATCCTCCCCGTCCCCTTCTAGGTAGGTGACGTCTCCTAGCCTACCCCTTCGGCGTTTACGAGGCTTACGCATTCCTGGCTGGGAGTCTGCCTCCGCCAGGGCTCGTTTCAAGGCCTTGGCTTGTTGTGTCCGCAAGTAGTCCTTGTTCTCGTGCACCCAAATTCGTTCTTTGATTTCGACTTCGGCTGGAGATAGAAGACAGTTGGCGACCTCAGGATCATCTTCGAATTCGGAGGCGTCAATTTCTGCTCGGTCAGAAACTTTGTTCTCTTCCTCCCGGCCCGAAGCCACACTCTCAATCATGTTAGAGCCTTTCGATAGGAGGGCCGTCATCTCATTTTCAAGAGCTTCCTCCGATGCAATCTGATCAGGGGTCGGCGACGGCAGCTTTGTTCGTTTGGGCGCCGCGGGGTGTGCGGATTTTGTTATTGCCGCTTCTTCCCCAACTTCCAATAAAACCTCGTTGAGCACAGAGGTTACGGACGCTCGCCGTCGGCCACTGTCCGCCGTGGTCAGCGCGGGGTCAACCGGGAGGCTAGGAATAGCGAAGCCATCCGCATCAAGACGCCTCGGCTCAGCAGGAGTCGCGTCCTGCATGTCTCCCTCGATCTCAGCCGCGGTGTCCGAGGCCTTTCTTTTTATGCTTCGTGATGGCTTTCTTCCCTCCCTGGCTCTGGTAAAGGAAGGGGGATCATGTGCATTCTCCAGTTGTACGGAGCGAAACTGATCGACAGTAAGCTCAGCGCTCTCCGTTGAGCTAAATTCATTCAAACGCTGGTTAATGGTGATCTCGGTGACTTTCACCACATAAACGACCTCACGAACGGTTCGACGAAAATTGTTCATTCGAGCTGCAAGGATCAAAGCAGCGCCACAAATACCGGCCGGACGTCGACCGGTAGTCATCCAATCACGGTTCATTCGCTGAACAATGCGGACTGCCTCGCTGGCAACTTGCATCGTCGCGGTTCCAAATTCGAGTTGCTTGGCGAACCGATAGATCAAACTCTCCGGATCAATTGGGTTCATCAAAAAGACATTACCGCCAAGACGTAGTTCATCTAGTAGGGCCTTGTAGGTTCGACCGAGTTTGAATACATTGACCTGAACAAAATTAGCGATGCACGGACACAGTGTTTAATTGCAGTAGATCACTTACCATCAGTACATCAGCAAAATCAATAAGCATGACAGTGTTGCCATCTTGGCGTCGACACGCGATATACAGACAGACAGCTGCAACCGTCTTTGTCCGACGACCCTGGATGAAGTTTAACCCGACAGCAAGTTTGAAAACCTGACCAGCAGCTTTCATGGCACTCTCTGGGATGTTCAGAGCACGACTTAGTTGGTTTATATAACGAGTTCCTTGCCAAAGTCAGCACGAGCAAGTCGAAAAAAATGAGGGAACAATAATGCCATACCGTTTTGTTCTGTAATTTCTCGACTTTCCATAGCACCTCCTCGTTGAAAGCCCGGTCCATAGCTGCGGACATGGGTTTGGTCTTCACCAACAAACGTTCCTTGAACGACCGCTGCACCCGATGATGATTCACCGAAAGTGACTTCGGAGACGATATTTGCCTCACTAATGACAGTACCACAACCCGAGCAAACCTTCTGACCATCATCCTCCACAATATGAGGAGCTGGACATCCAGGATTGGGACATGTAGTGGTCTTAGGATGGGTAGTAGGCCTGGCGGCCTGGGGGCGTGCGATTGGTTGAGGCCGTTTAATCGGAGTCGGAGTAGGAGCCTTGAGACTCGCCAAACGGCCTACCGGCGGAGCTCTCGGTCCACTCCTAGGGGTCATGGAGGGACGCATATTAGGTCTAAACGCAGACATCATGCACAACGTGGTGTACTCGGAGGAGAGGCCGAGTTCGAATTTGACAAGACAACCTTAGGCTGAAGGGTGAACCTCAGATAGGATGGGGGTAGAGCATAACGGACAAGGGTTTACGGAGAAGCAAATAACGTGCTAAAGATCAGTCCTTGGCAGTAAGAGGACAACAACTGTACTCTGAACCTGATATACGGCGTCGTTGAGTGGACCAATCACGAAAAGGAGGGTCGAGTCTGGACTTCCAAAAAGGGAAAGTAGTGGGCTGGGAGAAGGAAAAATGCCCAGAGAACCCGAAGGACGTCTGACGAGTGAGCACTCCCAGCTCGACCAGAAGAATGGATAATACGATATGGAATATTTCGGAAATTTATCGGACGAAAGAGCAACGGCCGCCGGTTGTAACCCCCAGTAAAAAAAATGAAGAATAAGGATGAAGTCTGTCGATGGCGGGTGAAGACGATGAAGGAGGATTGGGAAGAACGCGAGATTTGCTGGGGGGCGACTTTGCACGCGTCAAATTTTGTCCGGATCAGTTACGGTGGCCCAGTGGGATTATCACGTGAGGTAGATGCCTCGGGGAGCGGCGGTTCGAATCTCGGGACGAGAACATTTTATAGAATCAATTGAGCTCAGTTTGCTGTCAATTTCAGTTTCATAGACCTTAGCATTTCATTTTTAATTGTGATCGATTACTATTTCTAACCTCTGGATTTCATGGAGTCTGTGCTCCACTAACAAAGAAGAGATCCATCTCACTTTATAGACTCGGTGTGAAGATTATGGCTTATACTCCGTAGCTTAGTCTATAATCACCGTTGGCTCATTCTCCAAGAGTTGTCGGAATTCATACTATAGATATCATACAGAGTACAGCTATAGGTGTCATACGGAGTACAGCAGATCTGATCATTATCAGATTAGCTTGCCACTAAGAAAGTGGTTCCTCCGCAGTCAATGGATATCCGCCACTCGGTTCTA